TCACCAGCAGCCGATCAGCCAGAGTCTCGGGCTGTAGGCCACCCTTGTAACCCCTTCAAATGATTTCATCTCTCATCAGCAACTCTCACACCAAAATTCAATTTCACAAAGTCAAGTCTCATGCCGGCATCGCTAGAAATGAAAGTGCAGATGGTATTGCAAGATATCAAATCAAGCCAACTACTGCGTGGCAGACACTGAAATCCCTGGTGCAGGTCCTGGCGGAAATCCCTGTACACACATTTTTTGGGTGGCCATACTTTATTGATGTAGGGAGAGATCCTTTGTAGCTTTCTATTCAAGAGTTCACTGCTGACCTAAGGCACAGGTTGCGGGCAGTGTGGAGAGATGTTGAGGGAGTAAACCCTCGGGAGACTTACAGTAAATTGGCAACCTATCAAACTTTGTTTGCAGTGCCTTTTGACCACAATGTGCGTGCCCCAGCCCGCTTACCGAGACACATGCATTTGGATCTGTCTCAACATGTCGTAAGGAATGTTAGCCGTTTCAGACTTAGGGCACACAGGTYGAAGGTGGAGRCAGCGGCTTGGRATTCTCGAACCTCTCTCGTGTGTGATTGCTGCTCTAGTGCTGAGATTCAGGATGAAGTCCATGCCCTTTTGACRTGCAGAAACGCAGCTGTTTGTGATTTGAGGAGAAAGTATGCTTACCTGTTCAACTGCTTCTCAGGTGTTTTTTCAATGGAACAACCTTATTTACAGCAAGTTAGTGTCCAGGGTGTGCAGATTTCCTCTTGCAACACAACAACAAGCTTTATTTGTTTATTTCTGAGCTTATGGATATTATGTTGGCTGGCGAGGACCAGTCACAGGCTGATCAGTCGAACAATCTGGCTGAAGGTCCCCAAATGTAAATCTAAATCTAAATCTAAATCTTTGTAGCTTTTCTTTGTTCCTTTGGTTGGCCAAGCAAGAAAAAAGGGTGCATGCTGCGGGTACCTCAACAGGTCCCCACCTGCCCCCGAGCTCACCTATCTCCCCAATCTTCAAAACGCTCTTAAATTCCACATGCATAGTAAATACAAACTTGGAAATGCCAATGCCACCGAGCTCACCTATCTCCCCAATCTTCAAGAGGCTTTTAAATTCCAGATGATAAAAACAAACTTGGAAATGCCAATGCCACAACAGGTTACAACTCATACTATCAAAACTTATTACCGCATGAAAATGAAAAAAAATAGCAATGTCTTTAGATATATGCCCAACATTTCTGTACCTATGAAGCGTACTATTGAATACACAAGCCACGCTCTTTGCTTTCAAGGGGCTTCTGAGAGGGGTTTTTCCTGGATGCGCGGTGGCGGAGGATGGGAGAAGAAGAGTCCGAACTTCCAGAGGCATGGCAAGCGGCAGCCCTCCAGATCCCCATTAGATCTGCTTCTGGCTCTCTCCTGGACTAGCTGTGTCTGGCGTAGGTTCTGAGGGCTTCCTGGTGAGGGCACTGCTACCTTGCTAGCTTGTTAGTTGGTGGACCTTCCCTTAATGCACGGGGCTTCTGGCTTGCGTAGACTTTTTCTTTTTCTTTTCACACACACACACACACACACACACACACACACACACACACACACACACACACACACACACACACACACACACACACACACACACACACACACACATACACACACACAGGTTCGCGGCACGTGTGGTGGAGCGCCTCCCATTTGACAAAAAACACATCTTCAAGTACCTTAGCACTAAACTCATGAGCATCCAAGATACAGACTCGGTGCCTAGCCAATCCAGTACTATCCTCACTCTCAAGGTTGCTGACTGGAGGACATGGGCATACACAGATGGCAGCTGCCTTGTCCAGAATGGCAAGAAAGAGAAGAAAATCTTCGTAGGCAGAGAAACTCTCCCTATGTCAATGAAGGAAGAGGTGACACATTGGCTCAAAAAGAGACTCAAGTCCCCTCCACCACAAGGTATGAAAAAGAGAAAGCTAATGGAGATCTGGAAAATTGCTAGAAACACCTGGCTGTAGAACCTGGCAGTGGGATGCATTCTTGTTTTCAATAGCGTGGCGTGTGGAGACTATTTTGTGGGCATACTGAACAGAATGGGCATGTAGTTGTTGAGCAAGCTTAGTGGCACGCTGGTGATCCAGTACTAGTCCTAGTTGTTCGAATTGCTTCAGGGTTTGTTCAATGTAAATAGCTCCACCAACACCCCGGAAAATAGGGTGAATTGTAACAGCTTTAGCATTAAGAAGTTTACAAAGGTCTGTGTGCTGCTGCTTTGCCGCGATCAACTGTTGCTCTGGCTTTGTGTCTTTACAGAACTTGATTCCTATAAGGTGCACATGGCGTTCATTTGCATAAAGATCATGGGGTTGCCTCACGCGGCTAGTTCTGGTGGTCTCCGTGTGGAGCTGCGCAATTCTATTACTGGGAGCAAAACAAAGGGGCCTGTAATTCGACCATCCCAAACTGAAAAGTTGTACTTGATCTCATTCACAGCATTTCGGACATGCAGGCACGAACTTGGCCAATCCTAAGGCATGATCTTAGTTCATTAAGTCTCCAAGACTTGTTGCACTCATTCAGGGCGTAGCACTACTAGTCTGTGTCTGTAAACAGATGCATACCTTAGTCAAGGTGAAGGCTTCTCGGAACAGCATGGGGGTTGCAACTGAACTGCAGGATTGAAAAGGGTTCAAAGGGGATGCCATGCAATGGTAACTCTTTGCCAATTTGTTTGTGTGCTCATCATGCCCAGGAAAGCCATCAATGATCACACAAGCTGCTGCCTCTTTACACGTTTACAAACCAGAAAGGAACGCTCCCCCATCCTGCCAACACTTACAGCTGCACAGCTGCACATTAAAGAGAATGGTCATGGACCTACAACACCATCACCAAAACAGAACTCGCAGGTATTTTTGTGGCACCCCAATAAGAGCAAGCTGACATTGGATCTGATAGTGCATCCCACTTCTTCCAGATTTCAAACAAACCCTGAATCCGATGTGCATGAGGAACCACCTGCATGCATAAGTCATTCACGATATACATACATATACGTACATGTTGTAGCATTCCCCACACCCTACTCGTTTCTACAAAGATAAAGCTCGCTCCAGCATTATAGACAACAAGGGGGCCAACGCCTGCACTCACACAACAGCTCTCACGGGCACCACAGACATTGTACTTCCAGAAGCCAGGGATCCATTCCACACTTTATACTGGCTGTCATTGAAGACAAATTGAGTACACATGCACAAGCTTGGCTCTGCTGATACTTCTGGCTACTACTGCAACAGATAGCAGAAGTTCAACTCTGCCCCGCCATCTGCTTCCCCAACCACCACAGTCAACATCAACTCCCCCCGAAGAAGTAAATTACTGACAGCGTCCAAAGGAATATAAATACCCCACATTGGCTGTTCCCATCTGGACAGCCACCAAATACACAACTCAGTCGTCCAAATGGCATTACCGTACTACCCCTTGAAAACAATGACTCCATCCATCACCTTCAAGATATGAATCCTAGAGGCACAGATGTCCACCTCGATTAACTGAAATTCTGCTCTAGCATCAAGCCTGGACAGTTTCTCCTCACTGCACGAATCAACACACACGCATTGTACGGAGAATCTAAGCACAAACCTCCAGGGCACACAGCGCTACAACCGAGTCACATAACCRGCACACAACATCCTCATGCCGCACCATGCCCCTGCAAGCTTGCTARTCAGGGGACCTTTCCTAAAAGCACGCACCCACCGTCCCGTGTTTACTTTCTTTTCTTTCCAGTCATCTGCCAGCAGCAGGCAAGTGTCTGACCAAGTGCAAGCATCTACTACACCGATTGTCTGTTAAACACCTTACTGGCCGAGCATGAGCCTCTTCCTTTTGCATGAGCCACTCGATGAGCTGAGCCACTCAATGAGCATGAGCCACTCAATGAGCATGAGCCACTCAATGAGCTGAGCATGAGCCCCTTCCTTCGGCATCCCTTCATTGTGAATACAGCTGGCCCTTTCCAGAAATGCTCACCAAAAGGGCTACCCCTTGAACCCGAGAAATTCCCTGAAGGGTTTTGACCAGTCCCTTGGGAGGGATGAAGTGAAAGTTGACTGGCAAATCCTGCCCGCAGGCAGCAAAGCAGTCGGACCTCCTCTTACAGAAGCTCGTGCGAAGGCTGACCTGAGCACACCAGGATGTGCCTCAAGGACAATCAGACTCCTGTGAGGAATGAACTGAAAGTTTGACTGGCAAATCCTGCCTGGAGGCATCAGATCAGCTGGACCCCTCCATGGGGAGCTTGCCGTTGAGGTTGACCTCCTCTGCACATGAAGAGGTCCTTAAAGGATGACCAGGCTCTTGGGAGGAGGATGAGCTAAAATTTGGCAGGGGAATCCTTTTGGGACCCCCCCCTAAGGGAAGCTCACGTGAAGGGTGAGCTTATGATCGAGCAAGTGAGGAGGCGCCTCAAGGATAATCAGACCCCCCTGAGGAGCAAACCACAATCTTGACCGGCAGATCCTGCCTGCATGCATCAGAGAAGCTCTGGACCCCTCCAAGTGCAGCTCGCCAGGAATGTGACCTTCTCTGCCCACAAGGATTTCCGGAAGGATGACCAGACTCTGTGAGGAATGAACTCCAAATCTGGCATGCTAATCCTGCCTGGATGCATCAGAGCAGTCAGACCTATCTAACAGAAGCTCGCAAGGAGGGTGACCCTCTCAGCACATGAGGAGTTGCCTCAAAGGAGATCTGATTTCTGTGGAAGATGAAACCACAATTGGACTCCTCACCACCCATCGACCAATCCACACCATCATCATGCCGCCATACCTGCACATCTGCAGCAGCACCCACACCACCACTCCCCAGCTCCCCATTCATGGCCGACTTAAATGCAGCACCCTCCTTGGCAAGAGTATGATGCAGGGATGGAGCAATGAGCAGCAGCAGCAGCAGCAGCAGCAATAAATGAAATAAAAATTGGCAGATGCCTCTCTGAGGAGTGCAGGGATCGAACCCACGACCGGCCGCTATCCTCTCACATCTGGAGGCGGCCGCTCTACCACTGAGCTAACTCCCCTCCTGATCCAGGGGTCCAGATGCGAAAGGCGTGACCACGAAGCAAATCTTTTTACACACGTATGTACACAACAGTACTTCAACGCATCCAGCTTCAGCTCCTGTGAAACATAGTTATCCCCATCATCATTACCAGAGCAGTGCACCTTTGACATTAGCACCAGCAGCATCAGCGGCAGCAATACCTCCCGATGCTGCAGCTGCCTCATCCTCAGCTGCATCACCCAGGCATGGGGTGTGGAGCTGTATGGAGGGCCAGAAGCGCGCGGGACCCAGAGTATGAGCATGGTTTGGGGTATTTGGGCTCAACGAATAGCTTCACCCTGCACTCTGTGATGCTGTGCTTACACTGCCCTTCATTGCTTGATATGATGCGTCACCTGATGCAGTGGCGAGGTTCACCTAAATCAGCCAACAAAGAGGTGTTTGAAATTTTGTGGATTGATGGCAAAACAAAAACCAAATTAAAGCAATGCATTCTAAACTGGGAGGCGTGTTGCTGTTGCTCAATTGAAGATGGATTTACTGCTGCCAGGCATGATTGCAAAACAATGTCCTGCTTTGTGGGCATTGTGGGGACTGAACGCGCTCAGGGGCTGGTGCCAGCCCCACACAAACAGCTCCCCTGCTGGTCAATCAATGACACATTTGCAGCAGAGTGGGGCAGCACAAACTCG